AAAAATTATGAATTATAAAATAAGTAATATTGGAAGAGAGTAATATTCTCCAAAAGAGGCTATAGTCCATACAAGAAATAATTAATATTATTTAGAGTAAATTTTACTTTGGGCCACCTTTTACTACTGGTGTTTTGCTTTGGACCATCCTTTAACTAATATTTTCACTTTGAACCAGAAAATCTTACCTTTGTGTCACTTTGGAGCACACTCAAATATTTTATCTATCTACATCAAACTTGTCATATGTCAAATAAATTGTAGGGTATAAAGTGGTGGGAGTTCACTGATGAATCGGAGCCAGCGTACTCGAAATTGTTCATATGCTTGAGAAGAGAGTTAGGGTAGTCCAAAATGCAACAAAGGTAAGATTATCTGATCCAAAGTGAATGCGTTAATTAAGGGGTGGTCGAAAGCAAAACACGGGTAATAAAAAGTGGTCCAAAATGAAATTTACTCTATTATTTATTTTTAATCCAAATTTAAATTATATATCATGACAAATATACAATTAAATTTTTTGTTGACTCCATTTAGATATAAATAATTTAACATGAAGAAAGAAAAACTAAACATAGGAAAATATTAAGTTTGTTAATGGAGAAATAGTTTAAATCAACTCAGAATAGATAAAACTCAATTAGGCCCATAAGGATGGGCCGAATGTCTTCCACAACTTGGCCTGTTAAGTGCACATGGCCCATGTGGCCCAAGTCTGCTTAGATGCATTAAGAGCCGTCGGATTCAATCGAACGGTTAGGATCACTCGAGATATATATAAAACATTCCATGTTGAAACCCTAACCCTAAACTCATTCTCCTCCCTCTCCCACCGCGAGTGGCAGTGGCGGCGGCGACCGGCGATCTGGGGTCCGAGGTGAGGCGGTGGCTACCTGTCCTACCGTGAGCAGCGACAGCGACAGCGGTGGCTACCTCTCTACCGCGAGCAGCGGCGGCGACAGCGGTGCCCTCCCCCATCATGAGCGGCCGGGGCGATGCCCTCCTCTACCGCTAGCAGCGGCGGCGGCGATTGGCGATCTCGCGGCAGAAGCGGGGCGGCGGCTACTTGCCCTACCGCGAGCAGCGGCGGCGACGGCGACAGCTACCGCCCTACCGCGATCCCCATCATCCTCAGCGGCGGCCGGTGATCTCGCGACCGACGCGGGGTGGCGGCTACCTCCCCCATCACGAGCAGTGGCGGCGACGGCGACGTCCTCCCCCATCGTGAGCGGCCACAGCGGTGCCCTCTCCCACAGCTAGCGGCAGCAACGGCGGCCTTCTCCACCGCGAGTGGCCGCGGTGGCGCCCTCCGATGGGTAGATCCGGTGGCAGCGGCCCTCTCCCCACCGCGATGCCCTCCCCCACCCTCACTGTCTCCACTTCTCCCCCTCTCTCTCTCTGTGCGGCAGCGGAGGAAGGGCCGGCAACGCCTTCCCCTCCGCGAGATCGGGGGGAGGGGAGGTGCCGCGGTGGTGGTGACGGACGACATAGAGGCGGTGGGTCGGACAGTGTGTAGGTGGCCGGCCGGACCTCACCTCCGCCAGATCCGGCGGCATGGAGGCGGCTGCGGCTCGGCGAGGCGGGAGGGGCGGCGGCCTGGACGGAGTGGAGGCGGGCGGTGGTGGCATCGGCGGCCGCCATTTTTTTTTTTGCAATTTTTTTCCATCGCTATTGCTAACTTAATCGGATTGCGTATGGACAAAACTCGGACGAAATTAGATGTGACAAAAGGAAAAATATGAATATTTATATTAGTTATAGATATATGAAAATGATTCTGTATATATATATAGAGAGAGGAAATATACATACATATATATACATATATATATATAGAGAGAGAGGAAAATACAGATTTGAGCTTGGGTTCGCCTGCACCTACAATCTGCACTGTCAATAGGTGCTAAGATGTGTGATACTGAGATGCATCGTCCTCCCACCAAATGAAATATTACTGTAGGAAAAAGTACACAATGCAGATGTTGGGGTAGGTACTTTTTCTGCCGCTTCCAACATTGCCCCCATCGTCTTCAGTCTCCTACACACCACACTCCTGAGAGAGACGAGCGCGCTTGCCAGAGGAATGGCGCATCTTGGAGGACTTCCCACGCCTGAGGCCTCCTTCGTCCAAAGGAGTTGAAGCACCCTTGCCCTGGAACCGCTTCTAGTCCGGGCTGGACCGTTCTGGCGCTAGGCCGCTAGCGTAGCGGGGAGGATGATGCCACCTTCCCAGTGCGGCTAGCAGGATGGGGTCCCCCGAGATCTACGACGGATGGCCACCTCGACGCGTGCCCTCACCGTCGCAGCCACCGCGTTGCTTGCCGCGCCAGCGCTACATGGTGAAAACGCCAGCCTGCTCCTCCTACCTTCTGGCTCAGGAGCTCAACTGTGCTAGCCGCCAATCCCGCAGGTCATAGAAGCCAAGCACCATGTTTATGAGGCCATTGCAGAGCGACAACGGCAGCCTCTAGATCCACCGCGTCTTCACTGCTGCCTGTCGTTGGGAGGACCACCGACCAGATTTGGTGGTTGTCGTCGCCGCTACAGCCCGTCGACGGGGTTCGGGACTCCGACCCGAAGGGCGAAGCCATTTGAGGACAGGAGAGGGGTAGAGAGATGAATGAGGAACAGGGGCGTCCACACTCCACAGTTTTCCCCCAAGCTTAGTGGATGAAGGGCATTTTGGGAAGGACACGGTACAAAGTGTACCAACAATCAGAACTTCTGCAGTGTCTAAATGGAGGAAATAAGCATTGGTACATCCTATTATCACCAGTTCGCCAGGCAGGTATTATCTAGTATACATATACATATCTGTAAAACCGTGATATAATTCAGCGATTTATTTACACTATAATGTACTGTTGTCGTGTTGTAAATTGGCGACATCTCCACTAGTAGGATTTGGGTTCGCCGCTGCTCGACCCATCATGAGCCACTTTCGTTTCCACAAGAACAGCAGGACGAGGCATACCATCAGCGCAGCGTTGAAAGCCAAAAGTTTTAGCATCGATTTCATGACAAAATCAAGAATTTCAAAAGTTCTGGCCTGACACATTTCTTCAAAATTTATAATTTAATTTCATGATTTTATCAAAGAATTTCTATTCATAAAATTAAATTTAACAAGACAAAGAGAACATACCAAACCTCCCAAAGAGAAGTGAACTTCAAGGGTTATCTAGCTGTCGATGGCTAGCTAGCTTAGCTACACACAGCCTGCAAACTGATCGATCGATCAACGAGCCAAATTAAAGGTCGATGTTTCGTACATACTCTCATGCGTACGTTAGTACGTACGTATATATGTCGAACTTGAGATGGAAGACAAATGCAGTACTCCATGTTTGGGAATTGCAAGTTGTTGGTTAAAAGAAATTACGAGTACAAAGTTGAAAATGAAAAGAACGAACAAAAGAAGAGATCAATCAATCATGGAATATGTATAAAATGACGATTATTGTTATATGCGTTTATTGGATCGTCAAAATGACATATATGTAGAAAAAGACCATGGACATTACTGATCCCAAGAGCGTCAATCTGATATATAACCATAATCGTCATTTTATACTCAGCCTACATCTCTGTCCCTGTCATGGGATATCTATTATATTCTTAAAAATTCATTAAATATACTAAAAACGCTTTTAAACCATCATGTGTCATTTCTAATAAATTAGAGAAAAAATTAAGGAAAACAAAGCAAAACACACTACTACAAATATACGTTTTTGTAGGCGGCTGATAACGGGCATTTTTATACCCACCTGCCACCACGCGTGTGCATCTAGAAATCACCGGTTTTGCACGGGCAAATTTCCAACTGCCCTTAAAAATTATTTTCATAGATGACTCTCTTAAGGTCCCATCCATAAAATTGAATTTTTGAATTTTATTATGCTCAAAAGAAAATATTTCGTATTTGGTAGGCAGTATACATATTTATCTCACTGTTTTTCATATATGCCCGATACTAGAGATGCCATATTCGTTTCCCTTTTTGAGTGAAAAAAACTCCAATTTAAAATTTAATATGTCTCCGAGTACAATGGTATGTATATTATCAGAGCGGGCACGATGTGTTTGTCCGTCCAAACCACTCGCATGCTCGTCACTGGCTTAAGTACTGTCTAAGAGTGCTTAAGATTCGGAAGCTAGAAAAGTTTAGTTTTTCAGCTTCATATTCAGTACATGAAAAGTTTGGCGTAAATATAGATTCTGAAACTATATATATTCTCAGTACATGAATAAAAATCTGGGAGCTGAAAATTGTAGAAGAATATATAGATGCTAGAAGCTTCTCTAAATAGATCTACCCATAGAGGAGTAGGTGCATGAATGTACGCCACTGTTGCTTGTGGCATTGGCTCAGTTTGTCTAAGGCCTTATCCAGCGGTATGAGCCGGCTGCTAGCTCATACGCGCTCGGCATAGTGCCGGCCATTGCCTGGGCGAGCGTGCCTGTGAGAGGGCACCGCCTCGGTGAGCGTGCGAGCTAACGCTTGAAGAAGAGCTAGCGGTCCTGTTCATCGATTAAAACACTCTATGAGCTAGATAAGAGCTGTCCATTGGAGACGGCCTAACTTGCTGGGATACATGAGCTACAGAATTTTTAAATTTTGGTCACCTGGAGGATGATTGGAATAGGATTTACCTTTTTAAAATGGCATGTTGTGAGATGGATTAAACTTCTTTGGAACCGGCACTTACATTTCTAGTTCCTTCAATAGCATCTTGTAATATTATCTTTCATCCAATCGGTTAATATTAAATAATCTAGTTCTAGCCAATAAAAATGAAATATTTTGTAATGACACGATAAACATTCCTAATGTAGTATATCTTGTATAAAATTGAAACCCGCTAGTAAATATTAGATCCTAAAGTTAATATGTAAATATACCGCAACATCATCCAATAATAATTATGAACTTCTAAAGCTCAAAATATAAATATATCACATCGTGTACTGACTAATCATATCATCATGCTATATATCCTCGACATCATTTCCATAATATTAAATTTTAAAATATATCCATATACCATATTTCAACATTATTTAACGTATAAATTCATCATTAGGTTCCATAGCAAAGTGCCAGGCAGCAGGCATTATATCCGGTATACATCTACCATGACATGATTAAATCAGAGAAATTTATTTACATTATTATAAATTTATAATGCACTGTTGCCATGTTGTAAATTGGCGACACCTCCACTAGCAGGATTTTGACCTGCTTGATCATTACCCATGAGAAACTTCAGTTTCCACAGGAGGAACAGCACGACGAGGCATACCATCAGCCCCGCGTTGAAAGCCGTAAACCGCTTGCTGCTCGACGAGCCCGCGACGAACGCGGCGCCCAAGCTGGCCATGTCCAGGGCGACGAGCACGTTGAAGACCATGACACTGGTATGGCTCAGGTAGAAGTTGGTGGCGAGCAGGACGATGATGCACACGGACGACGCGAAGGAGGTGGCGTTGCAGTAGTAGAAGACGTAGTAGCGCCACGGCGACTTGTCGAGGAGGACCGGGTAGCCGGCGACGAAGTCCTTGGCGGCGTCGTCGGCTTGCCAGACGCCGCCGGGAGGGTTCAGCGCCGCCGCGTACGTGATGGACGCCGTCAGCGTCGCCAGCAACATCAGCCAGCCTCGTAGCTCGTCCTCCCCTTCTTTCCGATTTGCCCGGCCTCCTCTGTTGGCCATAGCTGAACCTTGCTCGCCTGCCATGATGAACAACGGCTCTGCAAAGTTTCTGCTTCTTGATCAGGAATGTATTTATTATAGTTTAATAAAATTATTGTAAACATATATATTTAATCAAGAAGATTTATCTACGAATAATCTACAGGTTTAGCAATGAACATGCATATATGTCACGAAACTGCAAAGCCATAGCGCTGTAAGAATTCTAGCATCAAGGTCATGACAAAATTATTGAGAATTAAAAAAAGGTTCCAGCTTGACACAATTCTTCAAAATCTATAATTTAATTCCATTATTTTATCAAATAATCTATATTATATTTACGAAATTAACTTTAACAAGACAAAGAGAACACATACGTACCTCGCAAAGAGAAGTGTGTAGACGAGAACTGCAAGGGTTATCTAGCCGTAGATGACTAGCTAGATTAATTGCTGACCTGATGCAGCCAACACAGCCTGCAAACTGATCGATCAATCGATCAACGAGAGCTAAATTAATTGAAGGTTGCTGTTTCATATATATATACTTTGATGGAAGCTAGACAAATGTAGTACTCCATGTTTGGGAATTGCAAGTAGTTGTTCTTTAAAAGAAATTACGAGTACCAAGTTGAAAACGAAAGGGACGAACAAATGCAAAAGAGATCAATCATTCATGGAATATGTATCAAATGACGATTATTGTTGTGTGTTGCTAGATTGTCAAAATGACATATGTAGAAAAAGACCATGGGCATTACTGATCCCAGGAGCGTCAATCTGCGTGAGTACATATATAGTACGACCTTCATTTGTTAGTTACTCGTGACAGCTGGCGTGGCGACGTATAATTGATCATAATGTTTTTCTTTTGTCAAAAATCATCTGCTCTGAAGTATTCAAATCTTAACTAATTAAAAAATTAGTAATTTTCCAATCGTCACAATTTTATCGTCCGTAATCCGACCGAGAGCTACACCCTTTGTGTCTGTGCGCTCGTAATCACATACAGCGGACAAAAAAAAACAGAGATCCGTCGTCCGCAGCGCGCAACTTCTCTCGGCTTGATTTTCGTCCATCGTCCATCGTCCGCTTGTGTCTCCTCTTGATTTTTGTCAATTTCAAATGCCATAGGAGGAGAAGAAGACGACGGTGGTGGTCGACACAACACGGTGTCACGTTCGTGTAGCTCTGGTCTCGTTCGTGCCACTTTTTTCATCCAAAAATTCTTGGTTGTTTGGAAATTAAAAATCTTGGTGCGTTAGTGAGGCCTGTGAATGTTACTCATAGGATTTAATTATTTTGTTATTCGTTTTACCAAGAAATGTAGTATAAGCACATAATTATTAATTATTTTATTGTGATTTGTTTTTATCATGAAATATACTTTAAGAGGATGTTTAGATCTAGGGGCGTAAAGTTTTAGCGTTTCATATTGGGTATTATATAGGGTTTCGTATAGGGTGTTCGGTCATTAATAAAAAAACTAATTGCACAATCCGTCAACAAACTGCGAGACAAATTTATTAAGCCTAATTAATCCGTCATTAGCAAATATTTACTGTATCACCATATTGTCAAATCATGAAGCAATTAAGCTTAAAAAATTCATCTTGCAAAGTAGTTGGAATCTGTGCAATTAGTTATTTTTTAACCTATATTTAATACTTTATATAGGTGTTCAAACGTTCGATGTGACGGGGTGTAAAATTTTTGCGTGGGCACTAAACAGGGCCTTAGTATGAAATTTTGTTTACCCGTAGCGAAGCACGGGCATTATGCTATGAATTAAAATAAAACTTGCGTGTACGTACGTACTACTACAAATTAAAGCATGCAACTCTCAACAATGTATGTTTAGGAAGTATTTTTATCCGGATGTACTCTGAAGAGCCAACAGCTTCCATCTCGTCCAGTTTCCGCAACGAATAGACAAATTAAGTGTCATATACTCATGCCTACGTCTCTGTCACTTTCATGGATATTATCCCGAAAATTCTTTACAACGGAATTTCGATACGGCGCAAAAAATCAGATGTGCCACCGAGTGGGTCCCACTTAACCACTATCACACTATTTTCTCTCCACCGATCAACCTTATCTCTATCATTCTTCTCTCTTTCTCTCCCCTCAACACCGTAGCACTGCTTCTCGCGACCACGCGAAGAGGGAGGAGGAGGCTAGCGACCACGCCGACAGGGGTGGGGGCGGCACGACACGACGGTGGTGGGGTCGTGCATCGCGGCGGCGGTCGCCGTTGGCATCATGCTCGGCTGCTTGTGCACCTTCCTCTACCCCGATGGGCTCCTCTCCTGCTGCTCCAACGCCGCCCTCCATTGGCCTCGCCAGGTAAACCACCTCTGCACCTATCTCCCCCATCCCCGCCGGCGGTGGGCGTAGTGGCGCTACAGCAAGAACAGCCGCCGCCGGTGATGGAGGTGGACTCGCCGGCGACCGGAGATGAAGAAGATGGAGGTGGGTTTATTTTGATGAAGACGGAGACGGGTTTATTTAGTTGGAGTTTAGGGATGTTACATCCTACTGTTTTAGCTTGTTGCACTCTATTGTAGTAAGCTGTTTCACTTTATTTTGATTTGATGTTGCATTGCAATTATTTTAGATAATGGAAATGGGTTACATCTCCGGCTTCTGTCCATAGGCACACAACCAAAAAGTCCAGAAGTGAACAGAAAAGAGCTTAAAAAAGGCGAGATGGGACAAATCCCCAACTTTTGCCGATAATATGATCTACTAAATAATATTTTTTAAAATCACGTAGATTCTATCACGAAATTCTGTAGGTACTACGCTATCCAAACTAGAATAAAAGTTCCTTGGCTACGTACCAATTCCAAGCGTGTAGCACCATTGCGCATAGTATCCTGTTGTTTCTGTGAAAGCATCATACACCAAGAGTGGAGCCAATTAGAACATATGAAGATAACCTGCATGATGTTAGGCATTTTTTTATGGTTAAAAACTATATCATTACGGCAACGCCAAATTGACCAACATAGAGCACTAGCTCCAAATAAAATTATTTTTTTTGTGGGTCTAGGAACTCCCCTTAGCCAGTTACCAAAAATATCTTTTGCATTGTGGGCAGGGAATATTGAAGCAAAGAAGACACATCGCCAAGCAAAACGTGCAGCATGACAGTCAAACAAAAGATGTTGGATGGTCTCTTGTGTATTACAAAATCAACATTGCTTGTTTCCCCTCCATTTTATCTTCGTGAAGTTATCTTTCATCAAGATTACTTTTTTTTGTCAAGAAACCACATAAATACTTTGATTTTTAGTGGTACCTTCACCTCCCATAAGATCCTCTTACAGATCCTTACATTGGAATTGATGATCGCATTATACATGGATTTGACCGAAAAATGGCCATTTTTATGTAGCGACTAAATAAAGCAATCATTTTCATTTGACAGGGTTATATTAGCTAGTCGAGAAATCAAATCATTCCACTCAACTAACTTTGGTCCTACAATTGATCGTCAGAATGAAACATTCAACGGTGTTGTGCTCGTAACCTCTGCCAAAGTAGAATGTCTCTTTCGAACCACATTGTACAGAGAAGGATATTGATATTTGAGAGGTTGCAAGCCCAACCATGTGTCTTCCCAAAATCTTATCTCTATCCCATTACCAGGTTTAAAAGATCCATACTGAAAAAATTGATCTTTTACTTTCATTAGGCCAACCCAAAATTGAGATGTTCCTGGTTTGTGTGACATATGGGAGAGGGGTTTACCCTTTAAGTACTTGTTGGGTAAAAGATTTTGCCATAGGCCATCACCATTAAGAAGCTTGAATAGCCATTTGCTCAACAAACATCTATTCATGATATCAAGATTTAGGACACCCAGTCCACCTTGATATTTTGGCCGGCATATATAATCCCATTTTGTTAACCTATATTTCTTTTTCTGGCTATCACTGCTCCAGAAAAAGCTCGATCGGTAGAAATCCAGTCTTCGAAGTACACCTCGAGGTATTTCAAAAAAGAATAGCATAAACATGGGAAGGCTCGAAAGAACCGAGTTAAGAAGAACCAATATCCCACCATAGGAGTTATTTTTGCCCTTCCATGTGCTCAGTTTTCTTTGAAACCTATCCTCCACACATTTCCAATCAGAATTTCTGAGTTTTCGATAGTGTATGGGGATTCCTAAGTATCTGAATGGAAAGGAACCAGAATTACAACCAAACAGTTGTTTATATTGATCCTTCATTTCCTTAGCTCCCCCAAAGCAGAAAATTTCACTTTTATGAAAGTTTATTTTCAGCCCCGAGAGATGTTCAACAAGAATGGCCTTCATGTTTTTTGCTTGTTCAAAATCATGTTCAAGAAATATTATTCTATCGTCGGCATGTTGGAGAATGGACAAACCATCATCCACTAAGTGTGGAATTACCCCTCTAATTTGGACATCGGCTTTGGCTCTTTTAATAAGAATGGCTAACATATCAGTCACTATGTTAAAAAGAATTGGGGACATTGGATCCCCTTGTCTCAAGCCTTTGCATGTCCGGAATTTTTTTCCTACATTATCATTGACTTTGACATTTACAGTTCCTCCTTCAACCCAGTTGGAAATCCAATTGCACCATGATTGTGAAAACCCTTTCATTCGTAATGTCTGCTGAAGGAACTACCATTTAGCTTTGTCATAAGCCTATTCGAAGTCAATTTTGAATATGATACCATCCATTTTCTTTGTGTGTAACTCTTGGACAGTCTTATGCAAAATCACCACCCCTTCCATGATATTTCTATCTAGCAAAAACGCCGTTTGGGTTGGGCGAATGACTTTGTGAGCAACCGCTGTAATTCTATTGGTGCCAACTTTTGTAAAAATTTTAAAGCCTACACTCAGTAGGCAAATAGGCCTATATTGTTAAATTTGTTTTGCATCAGCCTTTTTTGGCAGCAGCACGATGATCCCAAAGTTTAGGCTATAAAGGGGTAATGTCCCTTTATGAAATTCTCTGAATAGAGCCATGAGATCATTCTTAACGATCATGTTGCATTGCAATATATTGTATATGTTTGTTGCACTCTATTTTATTTGTGTGTTTCATCCATGTTTCATCGGATGTTGCACATGATGTACGATGTGTTTTCTTCGATGTTGCATAATAGAGTCTTAATGTTGCAACCAGTGTTTTTTCATTGTTTTATCTGATTGAAACATTTTTTTCCAAGTGGTGAAACATTTCTCATCGAGTAATGAAACATCTAAAACATTTTTTAGTGAAACATTATTCAATGAGTGATGAAACATTTGAAACATTTTTTTACATGTGGTGAAACACCGTCCGATTTTTTGCAAAATGTCATACGTCCGATAGGTAGCAATCTCCATATTATCCATATTCTTAAAATCCACTAAACATGAGCATGCATCACCAAGAACATCCCTCCAACACATTAGCTATAATTGGTTTCCTAAAAACAAAAAGGTGGGCCCATTAGGATACTTCCAACAGAAATCAGTTTTCACTCCTCGCTCTCATGAGATCACGCTCGCATGCAACCCTAACTGCCGCCTCGCCGCCCTTAGACAGATTGGGAGCGAACTCAATTGGTAACTGGAAGGATTGGGAGAGTTGGTTGAGAATCTATTGGATGCAATTTTTAACCAAAAATCTCCAAAATACCAGATAGGAAATGATATCGAGATGCTGTTGGTGATGTTCTTACAAACCCTGCTGCCATGTGTCACCTCTAATAAATTAGAGGAATTCTAAGAAAAAGAAAAAGTAAAACGCACTACTACATAAAACATTTGTACAGGTGGCTGATAACCCATTTACACGAGCGTTTTCTGATCCACCTACAACCATGTGCCTATAGAAATCGCTGGTTTTTGCACGGGCTGAATTACGAATGTTTCTGTAAATCGATTTCCACGGGTGGCTCTCTTTAGGACCTGCCTATGAAAAGCATTTTTTAAGTTTTTATTTTTGTAGGTGAAAAAAAAAGTATTTCCTACTTTTGGTAGGCATCTATACACGGTTTTCTTACTTTTTTTCATATCTACCCAATAACATTGATGCCATATTTGTTTCCGTTTTTGAGAGAAAAAATACAATTAAATGTCTCCGAATACGACTCTACACGAAATTATCGGAGTGGCAACACAATCTGTTTGTTTGTCAAAACCACTCTAAGCCCCGTTCTTTTTTCTGATTAAAATACATATTTTTCATCGATTTCTGTTGGCACGGTACTCAAACTACTAGATGATACATTTCATATGAAAATTTTGTATGTAGAAGTACCATTACAGTATGAAATAAATCCATTTTTAAGTTTGAAATTATTTAAACTCAATTAATCATGTGCTAATGGATTTCTCATTTTGCATGCACAGTCACTCCCAGAAATTTAGCCGAAATTTCTAGAGTATTTTGTGTATTAAGTCCCTGTCTAGGAATCAGCCAAGGTACACAAAACGACAAATTAATATACAGATCCAAACATAAATAAAGCGTACATACTTATAGAATAGGCAATTAGTCCTCACACAAAAAGAAAGCAACAACAGCGGAAAAAGGTGATCCTAGCATGGCTTTAGCTCCACTCCACAGGCAAAACTCAACTGGGGTATAAGCCTTGGTCCTCTAACTCTGTCTTCAGCTCAGAAGCATAACACTTCTGAAAAGGGGGAGTAACAGTAAGGCTGAGTACAACCACCGTACTCAGCAAGCCACACCAATGATACAGACATGCAAGGGGAGACAATGGGAGGTTTGTGGCTATTTGCGTAAAGACGGTTGTAAACATTTATAGTTTAAAACAATTGTTTAATTAACTCAAGATTAAATCTCCACTTATCAATGCTATAACTATGTTGAACAAACCCAACTATTCCACTTGAACTACACCAGTTCATTAAGTCAATTTAATTAATAGAGTGGGACAAATCACGGTGAAGCTGATCGATCGCCCATAACCGCGGGCACAGCTATTCAAATAGTTTTTACTCTGACCAGAGATGCACAATTGTACCCACGAGACACAATCCACCGTATGACACCATGCCATGCCTAACACGTTACCATGCGAGAGATTGTGACAAGACCCTTCGCATAACTCCCCCCTAACCAAGCGCACCACACCTCGTGTGTCACACCCCAATCCGGCACCGCCGTACAACAGCACCTGACAGGAGCGTGTCGTAGGAAAAACGGCGCGAACCGCTTCCTACGAAACCGCGATCATAGTACCAGTCCCAGGACATAGTGCTGGTACCCACGGTGACAAATATGAATCATTGCAAATCCTTAAAATAAGTAGAGGACTTATTTACCTTAACTTAGGTTGCAGCTCAGGACAGCCTGAGAATACAACCGAAGACACAGACGAGGAAACACCAGCAACAGCAGCAGCAGTGGAACCAACGGTCTAACACCCAACACCACAGGCGACGGCTGGGAACCAGGACGAAACCCTAATCTTCACTTTTCTTCATCTTCAGCATCCGGGCGGAGGAACTATATATATATATATATATATATATATAGAGAGAGAGAGAGAGAGCAAGGGTGAGTACTTTCGTACTCAGCAAGTCACGGGAACTTAGGTGTTTAATGCAAGCTTGGAAGAGAGGCAAGGTTGTTTTGCAAATCTTTTGTTTGAAATCATTTTGAAATCACTAAGTGATTTATTTCTTTTTAGGTTTGGGTTGAAAAGAGACTTGCGTCTCGATTCGGCTTAAGAGATGCTTTTCAACAACTCAATTGGTAATGTACCGACCTCCAAGGTCAGATCATTACTTCTCGGCTCCCAGAGCCATTTCACTTGATTAGGCGGCTCCCAGAGCCTTTTCATTTTTGTGGACTCCCAGAGTCCAGCTGCCCAGCAGCACAACAATCCGCTTCCACTCGGGAAGCCTAGTCTATGATGCCCGCAGACATCCCGAATCACACAGATTCGTTTCTGACCACTCAGGTCATCCATCTGCCACTTAGGCTGATTCTGGTTACGATTCCCAATCCACAACAACTTTTCACAAAGCACAGGCAAACAAATCTACGCAACGGGAACCACCTCACATCCGCCCATGACCGTGGGCACGGCTGTTCGAACAGTTGGTTAACCTCTGCAGAGGGGTACACTTTACCCACACAACACGAACTTGCTCCCATCACCTAACCCGTGTTCATGACACACGGCTGGAAAAGGGAGATTCGCGACAAGGCATTTCCAAAGCTAACTCTGGGTTACCTCATGCCACATAGAGGGTCTCCCTGACCAACATCGGGCCAACTCCGGCTTTCCTTTTAGGACTC